TTTTTTTTTTTTTCTCTCTCTCGTCTCTTTTCTTTTTCTTTTTTTCATTATCTATACAATCTATACAATATCGATATTAACGAAATTCTTTTAGTTTTTTTATAAAAAAAAACAAAAAAAATCTTTTTCTCGTAATAAAAAAATCTTTTCTCGTTAAAAAAAAAAAAAAAAAAAGGTAAAACGTTAAAAGGGTACAATATAATATCACATATTTTCACACATCTGATAAAATCGTATTTTATAAAGTATGTATGTACAGTACCAACCATGTATGCATTTACGTATAGTAACTGGGTTATCGATAGTTGTTTTTAGTTCTTTTGCTGATATTCTTTTTTTAATTTAGCGCATAAACTTACATAATAATAATCAATATATAGTTAGTATTGTTAAAAAAGAAATTTTTTTTTTTTTTTTTCATATTTTTCCCAATCGAATTTTTTTAAAGTTTGTACCTAAATAATGACTATTATAATGGTAAGGGAAATTATTTTAAATTCAATTTTATCACATTAAAAGTTCAAGCCACAAAAGAATCAAAAAAGAACAATGCGGAGAACCCTAAAAGCGGCCGATTCGGTTCTACGGTAAAAAGTGTATCGTGATACAATAACGTAAGAATAGACGATCAGTGGTGTTCTAGCAATTTGAAGTTTAAGGTAAAGACCGAGATGAAAAAAAAAAATAGAAAACCGGTTTTTCTTTACTCAAAAGAGGAGATGATTTACATATAAAAAATTTATAATTTATACGTAACTAATATTTACGAATTAAAATATTATGAATATTATGAATATTATGACTTTAATAGTTATATTAATAGTACTGAAATAAATATTACCGGTTTACCTGGTAAAATATCAAATTGATCAAATTACTTTCTTTGTCAATAATAATTTACGGTTGGTAACTTGGTATAATTCATTACTAATTAAAGTAATTAATAAATTTCCAAAAATAAATACTTCTTTTACTTAAATAACCAATCTCAAGTCGTGCAACCTTGTTTAATTAAATTTTTAATTTAATTAAAATTATCACATTATTTCACATTATTTAAATTGTTATTTACAGAACAAAGCAGATTATAACATTATGTTTATATTTAAAAGAACATTTTAAAAGAAACAATTTATAACAAATAATTTTCATAATTTGAATTTAACAAATTATACCTTTCGTCTAACTAATACCGCATGATAAAATATTACGCGATTTGCTATTTTTAATTTTAAAGTCAAGTGATTATCAGTTAGCGCATAGCCCAAAATTAATAGAACATGTGTTAATGATCAACTTTTTTCCATTCATTTTGATTTTTTTGGTAATCAAAAGAAAATTATATTAAGTATATTAATCTTCTACCTTACCATTTTTATTATTTGATTATTTTTGATTAAAAGAAATTAAAGTTTTGATTCTAATAACTGCGAGTAAATCATTTCCTCATCAAAATCATCTATATTTTCCATTTTAATCATTTTCAATTAAAATATCCAAAAAAAGTAATAATTTTTTTTATCTTTTGTTGTTAAAATTTGTAAAAAAATTTTCATACTTGCAGACAAAGAAACAATCATACGAAATTCTAGAAATATTAAATAAATTTTTTTTTTTTTGAAAACAATTATAAAAAAAAAAAAATTTTTTAAAAAAGAACAAAAAAAAAAAATAAACGGGCATGAATATACATGAAAGGGATAAAGAATTTTGAATTAATCCGTTAGATTAAACTTTTCATCAAATAATAATTTATCAATTTATCATCATATGCGCTTTACGTTAATATACATTTAAAACTAACGATAATGAGAGATAATTTATTATAATAAATTCTTAAAATGGTATATTTAAATAGATCGACTAATGTACGAATCATGCGTTTTACATATTGATTATTGCGCATTGTTATATGGCGTTTCCTTTTCTTTTTAATCACGCTACTTATGATATACTGTAAGTGAATATTGAACACAAACGGATTTAAAGGAATACAAAGATAAAATTTCAGGAGATATAAGACTCAAATCGGTTATTGTTTGTTGTTATATTTCCGATTGTTCTCCTTTTTTCAATAATAAAACTTTCTTTTTATCATCCATATCATAAAATTTTGGGATCAAAAATCGTTGGTCAAAGAAATCTTTTAGAATATTCCAAAATAAACCAGCAATATAAACCCTTTTTTTTTTTTTATTCATATAATGAACGATAATAACGATAAGGTTTAATTAAATTATGTTTGACTTGTCTTCCACAAATGGCGTAAATATTATTTACCGTTTATTTAAAAAAAAAACTTTATCGAAATTAAGAACCGAAAGAATCAAAATTGAAATATCACCATCCCCTACCTAAGCCCAGCCTTAATAGTAACAAATAATGCTTATTACTTTTTAGCGTCAAAAAAAATGCAAATGATTTGATTGATTATGATGCATAATAATGATTTATTTGATTTGATTGATATATGTATTCTAAATAATTGATCATAACAGGTATTTATATCGTGCATTGTGCGCAGAATTTTTGATTGGAACAATACCTCGCTTTCTATTAGATTATAATTGGATGATATTTGATGTAATATATTCTCCGTATTACCATATGTTCTTTTCCTTATTTAACTTATTCATGTTGTGTTTTGTTTATCAAATTTTAAGTGACTTATTATTTTTTATTATTTTTATTATTATTTCTCTTTTAATGTTTCGTTTTCATATACATTTATTATTTAAAATGTATAAAAAATACTTGTATGAATTTTGTTTGGAATTGATTTACTAATTGTTTGTTTTTTTTTTACCGCCAAGAAAAAAAGATTTTAAATCAGAATTAACAAAAAATCGTGAATTTTCCAATACAAAGATATAGATGTAATAAATTTATATAAATTAATATGTACTTACTTGCATACGTATATGAAATTACCTTAATTGATAATTATTATTGTTGTTATTATTAAATTTATAATTTTCTTAAAATAATTAAATAATTAAATAATTAAATTTTCTCTTTTAAAATTTCCTTTATTATTCAAGTCCTAGGACATGCGGAACATTATACCATATTACCATTCTACATGGGAGATATTATACACAGGGGAGTGTAAAAGAGTTTCTAACAGGGGGATATATAATTTCGAGTATAATAAAAGAAACGCGTTTAATCTTTATTAGAGCGCGAGAGTAAGTATTATTAGAAAGTATTTAATTTATTAATAAAAATTGAATCAAAAAGGTCGATTTTTCGACAATTTTATAAATATACCATTCGTTAAAATGAAAAATACGCGATTATAAGTAAAAAAACAACGTTTAGAAAAATAAACTTTTTTTTTTTGAAATCATTTATATATGAAATCTTTTTTTTTTTTTTTTTNCTTAATTATTTTCGTTTCACATCCATATAATTTCATACAAAACTTTTTTGTTATACATTTTGTATAATCATTAAAATTATTATTACTGAAATTGGATTACTAATACGAAATTTCTTACTGTGCCATTATGCCATAATAAGTTAAGATTTTTACTATGAAATTCTTATTTTTGGTATAATTCATATTCACCCATTGAAAAAATGGCGGGCTAAAAAATTATGCGAAATATTTCTAATATTATTATTATTATTATTATTTTCATTTTTTTTTTAAATACCTATCCTTTTAATTTTATGTTTTTTATTAAATCTAATTAAATTGATTTTCGTTTAAATCGAATAATTTATGACGATGTTAATAATTGATTAGCGGAAATAATACCGATCTTTTGATTCTTTTTTCTTTTGTTGTTAAAAAAAAATCTCTTTTTTTCGGACAACGGGAAAAAACGGCGAGTTCTATGATTGTTTTGCATGACTATGAAAGTTTTTTTTTGCCACAATCTTGATAATTTTTTGTGATGACATAGGATGACATAATGACAATGAAATATTTAACTATATATAATATTATATATATTAAAAAGAACAATCAATCGTCTTTTAAAATCCATTTCTTTCTCTCTCCTTTTTTTTTTCTATCCCGAATTAGACAAATTTTCTAATCCCAAGCTAATAACCGATTTCTTAATTTGTAATTTTTAATCGTTTAATAAGTCAATTTAATTGCATTTCGGAAATTTATTATTTTCCCAAGAATTTATATATTATAAGCCACTCATATAAAAAAAAAAGGCAGCAGAGAGCCACTTTATTTAATATTTAATCTCGAAAACATCACATTTAAGAAAATATTGATTGTTTTTTGTTTATACGAAAGACGCGTGCGCATATAACTTTCTTTTAAGTTGATTTTATTATTATATTGTATATTATGATATTTGAAAACCATAAAGCACAATTATTACGAATTATCATACAAAAAACTTCTTTTTTTTTTTTATCCCTCGTTCTATGCTCATATTTTACAAGTGTCTTCATTGTGTGAGTAAAACCCTGCACTTTTTCGGTGTTGTTTATTTCAATGTTAAATTTTTCCCTGATGAGTCCCTTGTATGAAATTTCAACTTTTCATTGTGAATTTTCGCGTTAATTATGGTGAAAATTACGCTTAAAAGTTAACCCGTATCGTATTAGTAGACGCGTTTCTTTTATTAAGGTTGACATTGGTTGTATTGTGCAATGTTTTACGTACATTTTTTTTTATCAATGAAACGACCAAATTAATTATGTTACATACATAATTCATTTGTTAATAACTGATTGTAAATTACTTATACTCAATGTTGCACGATTAGTAACTTTTTTTTAATTTTCCTATATTGTAATGATAGCATATGATCAATTTTAAAAAAATTGCCAACTATGAGATTACTGGAATAATCTTAAAAGTGTCGTGTGACTTATCATTTGATGAAAAGATTATCTTATAAACAACCGCAACTTAAGGATGTAGCGTATCACAATTTATTAATTTCAAGGTAAAACGTGTTTGTATTGCGTACATTCACGTATACTATTTGCGCCATAGCGTTGGTATAACATATGGGCGGACATAACTGACGCATGTGATTACTTCGTGATAAACATTGTCAAAATAAATGCATCCCGCTCCCACATCCATTAAGTATTATGGAAGCTTTTAATCCAATTATTTGTACCTACTCCAGATGATCTAAAATACATAACATATAATAAAGTGTTTAGTGGTAAATCATTTTCAGTAATATAAAATTATATCTCTTAGGTAATAACGGCCAATACTTTTATGTATTACAATAGTCAAAATAAAAGATTATCATCAGCTTAAATTGCAGATTCCTTATTTTTAAATAAATTTTGCCGGACAAAATTAACTCTATTATAAATGCAAAAATAATTATTCGAGTATGTCATTTGTTCGTTATATTGTAGTTTAATTATCCGATAAATATTATATATTAAATTTTATAATACCTTTTTATATATGCAAAGAGCTAGTATTTATTATAATAAATTAGTAAATTTGTTTTATTTTTATTTTTATTTCTATTATAAACATTATTTTTTACAATTACTTTTGGCCAAATTAAGATCCTACAGGACCCCACTTAAAATTTGTTGAAAATCCTACTATAAAAGAAAATTTTATGTTAATTTTTTCCTTTTAGTTGATTAAGTTAATTAACCAATAGAATTTAAGCAAATCTTAAGGTAAGGTTTTATAAAATTTTCTATAATGATATCTATTAGTAGTAAATGAGATTCTGATAACACTTACTTATAAAATAAGTTACTGGAAACCTATTATAATTGAGAATTTTTAAAGATTCTACTAGATAAATTACACTTAAAAAAGAAAATATTATAATAAGTTATTATAATTTTTTACTTTTTAAATCAATTAACCAATAGATCACTGGTAAAATTACTAGTAAATTTGAAATTTACTTAGAAACCTTATTAAAAATAAGCAGATCCTGCCAAATCACCTTTTTTGCTAAAATTCAAATTATTTTTTGCAATTTTTTTAGTATCTAATAATTTAATTTTAATAAACTTTTTTTTTAAATTATAAAAATAAAAACCCCTTTTTTTATTATTAAAATTTCAGGTAAATATAGTATTTTGCAAACGATTCAATCAAATCAAATTGATTCAGATTCGATTTGGATTTGGGTTGATTTGATTTGATAATTTTTGATTTGTGAATTGAATTCAAATCTCAAATTCTGATTTGAGTCTGAATCTGAATCAAAAAAATAAAATTTGATTTGATTTCAAATCAAATTCAAATCAAATCTACCTGATTTGATCAAATTCAAATTAAACTAAATCAAATCTGAATTGTCTGAATGAGACTAAATCTGAATTAAATCATCAAATTGTCAAATTAAATCAAATTATTATCAAATTATCAAATTATCAAATTATCAAATTGCCAAATTGTCAAATTAAATCAAATCATAAAATCAAATCAAATTGTTAAATCAAATTAAATCATTAAATTAAATCAAATCAAATCTCAAATCAAATCAAACTAAATTGACTTAAATCTCAAATTTATCAAACTTTATTTGATTCGAATCAGATTAAATTTAAATTAAATTAAATTGAATTGAATTTTGAATTAGATTTGAATAATTTGATTTGAATTTGAATTTAAAATTTTTAAATTTGATTCGACTAAATCAAATTTAAATTTGAACTGATTCAATTCAATTCAATCTGTGCAGAACACTAGCTATAAATATTTTACATTTTTTAAAGGAATATATTTTTTTTTATACCTGTGATATGTTACATCTTTCTTTTTTGGTAATTTTTATATATTAATTATCATATCAATTATTTTTGATCACATGACTTCATTAAAGTTTTCCATTTTTAAAAAGTTCTGATATAAAACCTTATATATTCACTATATACTATAAAAAACTTTATACTATACATATTTTTGATCACTAAAGCTTATAATTCTTACTGTAAAAGTATTATCATATCAGATCATTCTTATTAAAATAAAATATTAGTAACAAAACAAACAAATTAAATTAATAATACAAATCATATGATTAATAAAAATATAACTTTAAAACTATTTTCTATATTTTATCTTAAAAATAAATATTAATTATAACTTAAGTGAACAATAAGTATATTTAAAATAACTTTTAATAATTAATATTTTATTGAGTTCAAATTACATGATTAGTGCAATCAGTTAACTGCACTATTTATTTAAAATATGACAAAATATGATGTCATATAAACTTACTTTTTTTTCAAACTTTTATATTTTATTAATGGCAATTTCTATTTATATACAGGGTGTTTGAACCTGGGTCATGTGATTATTGCTACTTTGACTAATAGTATAAACTTCAAAATTAGTACTTTTGCCTGCTCTACAAGTTTACATAAGGCATTAAAGGTGCTTTTGAATGTCAGTTTTAACTTTACCTATGAATAATTGATTTTGGCAATCGCTCTTAAAAAAATTTAGAAAATAATCGGCAAAGATAGTTTTTCATATATAAGTCAAAAATGGCATTCAAAACCCTTTTTTGATGCCTTAAGTAAAATTGCAGAGTAGTCAAAAATACATATATTATATAGAAAAAGTAAAAAGGTGTGATATTGGTGTTATTATATTTTATTGTAATGTCACGTGATTGCGTGATTAACTCAATATATTTATAATATTTATAGTCCCCCAAAATACAAACTCCAAACTCACAAAAAATGCATGACCTGTGTTCAAATACTCCATATAAACTTTGAAATTTTCTTTATTAATTTTAATAAAAATTACTCTTCTTATTTTTTTTAAAAATAACTTTACATTTAATTTTTAAAATGCTTTTATTATCTTCCAATAAGTATAAAAATGCTAAAAAACTTTTTCAAAGTGCTTAAGCATTTGAGATTATGCATTAGTAAAAAAAAGAATTTGTAAAAATCATTATGATGAATTGAAAAATATGTCTATACAATATAATAAAAATGGTATTTATATTAATTATATAGACCTTACTAAAGAAACTTGTAAAAAACACAAAGGTCTATTAGGGGAGTGACACATATGACGTGATTATTATAGGGGAGGGGATTCACGAATATCTGACATATCACGTGATATTGATTATAGCCAATAGAATTAGCGTAATTTTAGCTGAAATTAAAATAATCATTTGCCAAT